CCAAAATGGTTAGTACAGACAAAGGAGGTCGAAGAACAGGTCCTGCGATGAAGTCTTCAGTGCCGATGGACAACTCTGACGAAGGAACAGGCAGCTATGGGTGCCACCACCCACTAGTACACAGTGTAGAGCCTCGATGTAGCCCGGCCAGACGCAGATACCCTTAGGGGTAGATGCGCTGAGGATGCCCCAGCTATGGCAGACTCAGAGAGGGCCGGCTATGGCTGCTGTCAACGGCAAGGTCCCAGGATGCCGCCTGCGGACAGTTACCGCCACCAACTTGCTTGGCTTCTCCAACGCTGCTTCGCGAGAAACGAACTGCCAAAAGTCCTGAACCCATGGGCCTAACTTATCTATAGACTCTCTAGACCTAGACCGGACTGACTGACCGACCGGTACCGTTGCTGTTTCGACCTCTCGGGCTCTACCGGACCCGGCTATAGGCTATAGGACCGTCTAGCAGCATAGGCCACTTAGGGCCTGTCTGTCCTAGGGGTAGCCCGGGCCTGCTATAGGCAGTTAGGGTAGCTGTAGGAATTCGGGTGAGTGCTGGGCCTGTATTTTCCCAGATTTGCAGATCTGTCCCTTACGAATTTCCTTACAGTCAGGTCTCTCGGTTAGCCCTCAGCCAAACAAAATTACGAATCTAACCCTACCGGTTAGTGTACAGCCTCGCAGTCAATCTCGGCAGTAGAAATCAGCAAGTCATTGCAGGTGGAATTGGAACCAGACTGACGCTCCCCAGAATAGAAGGAGCCTTTGTTTACAAAAAAAATAGTAATAATAAAAAAAAAAATTAATGATAATATAATATCCGATTTCGAAACTGGGTTGGATAGGAACTGGGTTGGAGAGTAAATTCTGCTAATGCGCCTCGATCGACACCAGAGAAAGAGGCAGGCTAGCCAAGCTATATATATGTTGGATAGGAACAGGATTCTCTAATAAGCCCCACTTAATTGGAGACTTAGGATTTATGTAATACAGTAATACTCTGAGTGGGGATCCGGGCTGCCCGGGTGACCGGCAGGGGCCCGGGGGAGGTCCTGGGCGGCCTGGCCGGGCAGGGCACCCGGTTGGGGGCCGGGCCCCCCCAGCGCACTCACCTGTCGGGGGATTTCGGACCCCCTTTCGGACCCCCTTTGT